TATTTGGCTTCATTTTTTTACCACTCTGATGAGCAATTCACCATCCTATTTTCTAAACCCTAGCACTATTTATATCAGCTAAATCAGGACATCAGAGCAATGCACATTCAGGAAGAAGTAAAAATGAATATAACATAACCTATAAACTGAAGAAAGTATTATTGCAAATATCTTGGCTGTGCTTTAAACAAGCATAATTCTGTATATCTGCATCAGTGTGATGATACAGAGGGAGGGCTAATACACTGAGGGAGCATGAGATACAGCACTACAACCACCAGGGGTGTCTACAGTAGAACCTGAGCTCCTACGTCCTGCCTAATTTAATCCTGAATACCTAGGCTGTGACCATCAGAACCTGTTTTGACTACTCTGCCAGCCCTGGCAGCAGCCCTCTTCCCCTGCAGAGCTGCCTTTTTTATATGAAATGCTCCTCACATCTTCCCCAGCTTTGTGCCATGGACAATGCCTGGCCTGGTAGTTCAACCCACCTCTGCTTCAACTACACAGTTCGCTGATATTGGACTCAAGTCTGAGGTAGAAAAGAGATTTTCATCCCCTCTCTGCTGTAGGGAATTTGATTTTATGACTCAGGCAGTGGACCAGGACTCACTGTGTTGTAGCATGGCACCGGGAGGTTACTAAACCACAGCCCCTCTGTTCTGTTCTCCCACATCTTTCATAGAAAGACCAGAAAACGCTCAGCCCAGTACTTGCCATTGCTTGTACTGTTAGTATGGACTGATAGAAACTTTCTCTTGAAAAACAAGAAGGTTGTCACGTGCCGAATCCCTGTGGGTTTCTGTAAGTAATGCTTAATTCCGGTAGGATATTCTGGGCAGAATTTAGAGTACGCTCCCGCCTTCAACACTTCCTGTGAGTACACACTGGAAAAAACACATTTTAAAATGTATGTGTTCAAGGTAAGCACTTCCAGAAGCTGGGCATTAAAACGCATTTGTCTAACAAGCACTGATGTCACTGCTATACACTTGTGGAAAGCCAGTTGTAAACACTGAGTGGTTCAGCTGGGAAACCAGCTTCCTGCAGATTAATTGTGACAGTGACGTATGTAATATGTAAATAGAGCTAATCAGAGATGCAGGCCATATAGCCATGGGGCAGACAGGAAATGAATACTACTGAGAACTTCGCAGACTCAGTTTCTTATTTAGACCTTCCAAAGGACTAAATAATAAGTTTCGTTTAGCACAGATGTAAACATCTTCCACAGCAGTTCTGCAGAAACTACGAGCGTTCCCAAAGCCTACGCCAGGTTTGATTTTTTCATCTAGGATGCCTTACAAGATTCTTTCGAGACCTCTGGCTGACAGGACCTACAGACCCTAAACGCAAAGCACTCTGTTTGTGTTTTCTGTGATGCCTATCTATAAGCAATGCAATTGTGTTTCCTTCCTTTTAAACAGCAGCAACAAAAGATTTCATAATGTGAACTATGCATAGACGATATCATGGTTCTCTTCCACTAACTCTTAAGTATCCCACATGCCAAGTTCCTCCATTATGATGAATCTTTAAAGTGCACCACTAAATACATTCACTGAAGTAGCAGACTGCAAGCTCCTCGCCTTGGGATTTACAATAAAATTATCTTCCCTGTGGTACAGCTTCATGAAGCTTTTTTTTTTTTTTTTAATTTGAAGACAAATAAAACAACAATAGTGTTGTTGATCATAGTGCTATTAAACTGTAGGTCCAATTATGGTTTCCAATAATGGGTAAGCAACAAATATTGATGAGTGGTGAATTGTTGAGATGTTTCTGAAGAGCAGTAGAATTATTTTTGAAAGCCAAATTCATTCAAAACATGCAGTTTTCATTTTCATCATTTCAAATATCATTGCAATAAAAGGAAAGAGAAATATGGAACAGAAAAAAATGGAAACATTTTTCAGCCCATGTTCTTCAGTAAAATTTTTTACCTTGCTTATTCTTCCCTGGACAATAAAGATACTTTTACATTTTTTTCTTGATAGAGGGATGAGTATCACTTCCCTTCAGCAGAAAAAAGTACAAATATAACCCCACAGAAGCCATATAGCTGGTAGAAAGGGACTGAATAAGAACAGTTGTAGAGCTTGACTGTAGAGAAATCGGGGCAGTGCTAGAACATGAACATGGATGTGAAGGAGGCAAGGTTTACAATTACCAGGCAAGTAATAAAAATAATTTGAAGAAAGATGTGGAGGGGTTGCTAACAAAGGAGAACTTCTGATTGTTCTAATTCTTAGTGCTGAGCTGAAGCACTCAATCAGGGCTTCACTTGTTTTCTGCAGAACTGAAAGTCTGAATATTTCAGAGCTTACCTTAAAAAAAAAAAAAAAAAAAAAAAAGACATTCAACATATAATACAAAGTCTTTATTGATAATGCTGTCAGTCACTTTTTCTTTCTCAGAGGACAGCTATCAGTTCTATACAACTCAAACGTGACTTTATCATCAGCTAGATGGGTCCCCATCAAACACTTACAGAAGTCAGTGCAGAGACATTTCAGATGAGAAGCAGGTCCAAAGAGATGGTGTGTCACCTCAAGGAACTTCCTGCACTTTGTGATCTATTCATTTTACTTTTTTTTTTTGTCAAGTAAATATTGTTTTGGAAATACATATTCTATTCACCTAGTTGTGAAATGTTTGTGAATACATTTCAGAATTCAGATAAATGGTTGTGAATTAGGACATCAGTTCTCATCCCAAATTTCTTTAGAGCTTTCTAGGGCTGTAGTCATGTCATCAGTATAATATTCTGGGCCTGTTTTTCTGGCTTAAAATAACTTACTCTTCTAGATTGTCATCTTGCAGTATATAAAACAGTCCAGAAGCATTTACAGGGTCATTTACACTGTTGCTATAACTACTGCAGCCTGCAGTGCAAAACAGAGATGCTTATTAGCACCAGCACTGTCACTGACAAAACACAGACTGACTTCGATGTAATTTGGTTACTTCAGGGACAGGATTTAATATTAGCTTTCTATTAATGGAGGAAAAAAAAAAAAAAAAAGACTGATTGCAATTATTCCATTTTTCTTTCAAAATTTCCAAATGAAGTCTCCGGAGATGTATAGCACAACGATGGATTTGGGACTGATGCTATCATCACAATACAGTACAGCAATATTTCAAGCCTCTAAACATAACCTGTTGCTCTGGAGTCATTTAAGAATGGATTGGACAAACCATTCAGACAAACGCTGCTGAGAGCCCATTGTTAGTGCATGCTGGAGGAGGTGTCTCAACCATTCATTTCCATCTATAACTAGAACAGTTACTGTCCACTGGCATAGTGGCAAGGCCAGCAGAAAGTTATTCACTTATGAGTGATGTTTCATGTTACAAATCTTTCTTAAATCAGCTTATGTGAACTACTGAGGCTACAATTGGTGACTTTTTTTCAGGAACTGCAACCACCAGGTAATAAAATTATGACAGATCAACACATAGACAGCATTAAACATCCATAAAAGGTGGAAAAAAGAGCTCACGTGACTACCTCTGTTGCAGAAAAGTGAAACAAAATAAAGCATTCTCTATTTATTCTTTACTTATTAGTAAAAGGCAGAATATATTATTAAAGACAGATGTGGTTAAAGCCAGTTCACAATAAGCAGGATGTGATATATAAGCCTACTCTGAAACTGAAAATGCTGTTTAAAACCATAACCCTGCTTCTTAAAGGTTCTTGGACTACAAAAAGCAGTTTTGCACTGAATATTTTCCATTCAGTCTGATTTTAAAATTTGTGTCACAAAGATAATACCATGTATTTCTCTCTCTTTTTCTGTCTCTTTTTAAAAAATAAATTCACAGTAGATTTTATTATTATTATTATTATTATTATTATTATTTTGGTTATGCTTCAGGAATAAGGAGTCCCAACACAGGTTTTTTTTGTGTGTTTTGTATTGTTTTTTTGTTTTTGACTATGAATGCCTCAACTCTGCAGCCACGAAGAAAGGGCCATGGTATGACTCTCACCAGAACTTACCAGCATTGCATTAAGTGGCAAAAGTCATGGGAAGGTGATGAGGTCACATCTTCTCTCCAGGGCTTGATATCTTACCTGAATAATCAAAATGAGACATTAGCATTAAAAAGAGAAAGACTATATAATTCTTAATCAATGAACTACTGCATAATTTAGCTATAACAAGGAGATTTCCTCTAGGACCTAGGATGGAGGTTGCTCTTCTCCAAGCCTTAACTCAACTAATAGTGAAGAGGTTTCTTTGGTAGTTGTATTATAACACCATTCTTTATTAGAATGAGAAACTTAACCGAAACTGAGCTTGTACATGAAAAGGTTATTTGTGGTGATCAGCCTAAATAAAACAGTACATTTAGGCTATGTGAACTGAAATAAGAATTTTTTGTTTATTTATTGCCAAAAAGAGAAGAAATCACAAATTTTGTGCCAAAGGACATTTTATCCAGGCTGGGAGATTGTAAATGAAAATAAAGCCACAGGTATAGAAGATAAATGAGAAGCTTTAAGTGGACAAGCTTGAAATTAGGCGTTCAACATTTCTGAAAAATGGTGTAAAAATTTAAATTTCTGCTTACAAAAATACCTGATTAACCACAGCATCATCAAGCTCTTGCAGGACAGACCAAGAGCCCCCCAGTTTCAGCTTAGCATATTGCAGATAGAGCTAACTTTGTATCCAGCTTATGGCATCTGAGACTGCAGAAAGCAGTTAAAGGTCAGCTAGAAGCTCTGCTAAGTGCTTAAAGAAAATTCTGCATGTTTTTTCATGCAAACTGATTCTCTTTGAAGTTCATTTCAGAGAAGCTATATACACTTCTCACAGTTTTTTGCAAGAAAACGATGGTACCATCCTAAGTCTGCTAAAATATCAAGTTCTGCAAGCACAAAAGCAGGAGTTGCTCTCTGCTGGTAGCTGCGTTTGTCCGTACGATCAACGGCCATTTTGCAAAGCTGTAATCTCACTTCCCTAAATGACGACTGTAAAAACAGAACTGTACTTAAAGTCCTGTGTGTGTGCAGCTGCAGTGACAGCGAAGGTGGAGAACCTCCTTCTTTCCACTACCTGCTCTGGAAACCCTTCAACAGCCAATTGGGGGCAACACAGCATGAGCACGCCTTCCTGAGCACACCAGTTACACCGATGAAACTGCTTAAGGAAGTTAAAGAAACTTTTTCTAAAGCTGGGAAGCTTTTTTAGAAGAAGATGGAAAACCCACTTCTTTTATTCCCCCAGCTAAACATTTCTGCTTCAAAGGATAAATCCTATTACAAAGTCTCGAAGTCAGCAGTTATGGAAGAGCCAAATAAAGCAAGCAAGGCTGGGTAAGTTTTAAGGTCATGCTGACACTTTGAGTGCTCTGTTTATATACAGGATTCTTCTAACATAGCTCGTGGGTATGAATTTAGGGCATAGATATTTTTATTTCTGGCCAATATATGTGAAAACTCATGAATTGCAAGCCTGGGAATTGTATGCATAAAATATTAATTTAATTTTATTTTAAGAATAAGAAACAAATAAACTAAGCAAATAAGAAAGGAAGGTTTCATAAAATTCCTAAAAATGCATTTCAAAGTGTTAATATGATCCGGGAAAGATTCTTTTTTAAATATTTCAAATGTCTGGAAGCAATACTTCCCTTTTCTTTGCAAAATGTTAAAAGTAGAAGATACTGAGTCAACTGTTTCATGTGTTCATGAGTTGTGTTCATGTTCTCTAACATGATGTTTCAGCCTTCTATCTTTAAAATAAGGGAAAGAGCTGCTGAAAATGGAAAGATGTCCATTTCTCTTTGCCAGTGCTTTGCATATAAATTCATGTTAATGTAAGAAGAAGAAATTCATTAATGTGAATAACATAAATAGAGGATTAACAGAAATATTACTATAAGTGAACATTTGAGGGTCGGTGATGCAGAGGCAGAGTTTCTTTTTCTTATGCAAAGAAACAGTTTGGAAACACCTTTAAATGAGGTTGATTTAAAAGCTACCTGAATTCTGTTGTAGAGCAAAGCAGAAGAGAAATAGGCTGAGCCTTCTCCTGCAGAGATCTGAATACCACGAAAGTGAACATCTTGGTAAACCTGGAAACTTGACAAAAGCATCAAGGTAGGCATTATAAAAGACCAACAACGGGGATTCCTTCCAGGAAGTGTGACTCAGAACATTTCCTGCATTTTTGTCCGCATTCAGACTTGGCAGAAAGAAATGCTTTCAAGATCTATTTCATTTAAAAATCAGCTATGTAAACCAAACATACAGACTATATAGAATTATCTGGTATACATCAAGGTAACTCACCGCTAATGTTTTCATACCACTAAGTGTATACTGGTTACCACCCACACACACATATGCATAATAGCTTTTACTCATGTCAACAGTGTTTTTCTTAATCCACTGACTATATTGAGCAAGCATTGACTCAAAAATGAAGCTGACAAATTATTGCTTTGAAGGAAATCATATAGCTACTGCACATTTTCCAAAGAATTTGTGATTTCCTCAATAATTGCAGTAATTGACTGAACACTGTCTTGTCTCCAAAATTTAATTATCAATGTTTAAGCACTGCTGTAATATCATCTCTATTACACTGTTTCCTATTAAGTTGCAGGGTGAAATCTTGTTTTTGTTAAATTTGGTAAGAGCTTAGTTCCTGACTTCACTAGGATACCAAAATCTCAGTGATATACTAAGAATTACATTTGTAGGTCTTGACTGAAAAGAACTGCAAATGTACTGCAACTCCACGGCCTAAAACATTTGTAGTTCTTTTCTTTCCATCACAAATCACTTCAGAGATTCACATGTCATTCTTTGGTCTTGTTAAGCCTGAAGAACCTTGTTTAAGCACCTACGCATCTGGCTAATTAGGTGGTGTTTGTTGCTATCACATCCAAATATCATGGGCATCCAAATGAAGGGATGTACTCATGATATGGAAGACTTTCCACTCTACCATCCCAGGGGATTTCATTATTATTTTTTTTCTTTTCCCCTTCCCCCTTTCTTTCTTGTGTTGCTGTTGGCAGAAAACTTAATTCAATTGTTTTACAGTTCACCCAGAAATAGAAAACCTTGAAATTATGAACAAAGGTAAAACAGCGTTGAGAACAACCTTTTTCAGTACCTTGGTTCCAGACATGTAAAATTGTGCTAAGACTGTATCTAAAAATAGAAAGTGCAATCTCCATATCACCTGTAGGTAGACTGTACATTTCTAATACTCATTTTTATTTAAGTGGCTGATTACCCTTGGGCATCTCATACAAAGTTCAGAGCCATCAAAGCATTCTTACCAGCTGTGAAAAGGCACTTTCAGACACAGATAGAATATTGATAAGGAATTCTCTGAAGAATTTCCCTCTTCTACCAGACCAACACTTCCTTGCTCAGCCAACTACATTTTACCATGTTACTCTCAGCCAGATGCTTGACTAGCATGGATTCAATTGAATAAAAGAGAAACTGGTTTTGGACTGTATATGTGCTCTGCAGCTGTCAGGGTTTATCTTTCACTACTGCAAAACTCATTTCTCTAGCTGTAGGAATCCACTGTTCCCAGATGTATGAGTACACACAATTCGGAGAACTGCAATTTTGTACTTCCCATGATTAAAAAAAACTCTGTAAGAGAGTGAGTTCTCTTTTTCTCCCACTCAAGAGTTCCCCTACCTTATTGGCCTACTTTATTATTATTATTACTATTATTATTATTTAAATTTCAGTTCTCCCGCATTTGTACTGCTCAAGATCTGTTCGTCTTTCCCTAGCTAAAAATTTCATTCCTATAAGTGATGACTTCAGGAAGGAGACACATGATATCTATAAAAAAATAAATAAATAAAAACACCCTCTTTTCAGTTTTGTACAAAACCAAGATCATTACTGGCTCAAATTCCTGCCCATACTCATTAGAATTTCAATTCCTCTAAAATTCATGTTCTTAGAGATTTTGCCAAGGGAGCCCAAGCTATGTAAATCAGGCTACAGAACATACGTAAGCATCAGGCAAGAAAAAGAAATCATTTCCAAAATTATTCAATCCATAACAACGGATTGTTCTGGTTCTCAGCCCCACTATCAACTAACCCTGGACAAGTTGCTTATGTGAGGATACTTTCAGTGCACAATGCTGTGCTACATCAAAAATGGATCTAAATATTAATACTCCTTCTTCACCTTCAGGCTTAGAACTAAGCCATAGTCCTGGTCTCATAAAGTTAATTCCAGGCCTGTACCAGCTCTGGTCTACAAAAATCAACATACTGTTCAGGGTTAATTTATACAGCACACATAAAAAGTGATTCCTGAAAATTTCATTTGGGTGAATGAAATCGGGTATTATTTCTTTCTGTATTGTTCTCTAAGACAGAATACTTGAAACCAATGAAAAATACATGTAACTTAGCATCTTTGATGAATATGCGGAGTTTTATAAATAGAGTGCAGTGTCTCAGAATAGCATGATATTTGAAAGATGATTGTGGTGAACAAAGCAGACTGTATATGCTGTTACCCTAGAAGGCTGTCACCTAAGTCGTAGTGCTACAACTTCATCTTCAGCTTATAGAATTTCCCGTAGTTCACAGGCTGTGGCAACACAGCCTCAGACTCCGTGCATTCAAAACCACATCTCTGCAAGAGTATTTAAGTTTAAATAGGTGTCTGTACGGCTTCCCTTGTAAGTTTTGCCATACTGCATCATCTCTGTTTCCTTAAAGATTAGTAGCACAACGCAGACACTGAAGAGAAAAATCACTGTACTGAAAATGTGCAACTCTGTATGAAAAATGTCAGGAAAAATTTTACCATGTGTTTCTGAAGTCTGAAGTAGAGTTATTAATAATAATAAATAAAGCGTTCCTTTAGGAATATAATGTAATCAAACGCTTTGTGAAACCATGTAGAGCAGTAACAGCAATTTATAACATATATCAAAATAGCTTTGTATATACACAATACATACAATTCTTCAAAACCATCTTTTGTTTCTTAAACAGTGTGTCTCCTGAAGAAGCAGTGAAATGGGGTGAATCTTTTGACAAATTGCTTTCCCAGAAAGGTTAGTAGTTTTTTTTTCCCCTCTTCCTGTTGATTATTATGATGGAAAATTGATGGAAAATTACAAAATCCAGTTGTGCATTTAAGTAGACATGGCTGTTACTTAAATTAGGTATGATGGGTCATTTGTAGCAGCATGTGTTTCTGCTCTGCTCATGTGCTTAAGCTATAGCATGCTGTCAACTACTGAAAATAGTTGAAAATAACTTTTAAGTTGGGTATTTTGCTGAACAAAGCCAAATAACAGGAAGTGAAGATTTCTTGCAATAAACTGTGAAAGGCACCCAAAAGTTATTAAATTGTTCTGTAATGAATAAGGTGCTTTTCTGCTGTATCAATTCTTATCAGGCACTCTGGAAAAATCCATTATAATAGTGGCATACTAATAAATTATTTAGAATAGCATTCACATTAACAGAAACTGATATTATCTTTTCTGGACTACATTTTTTGACATAGCCAAGAAGAACAGCTATGTTCTGATGAGGTAACTGCTATATTAGCATGAAAATACTGAATGACAGTTTAAAAACATGCTTGGAAATCTGCTGGCTACTCTCTCATCCATCATTTTGCCTCTGCCTAGAATCACACTGTATTGTTCCTGTCCTGTCGTATTAGCAGGCTTGTATAATAAAGGCTGAAAATGAATTTTTATGTTATTATTATTGTATTTGGCATGAAGCAGTAGTTTTTTTGTTCTAAAATATTTCATAGTGATTATCTTCCTACTAGGGATAACTAGCCATGTGTGGCATACAGGCACTATTAAAATGAGCTTATAATAGAAAGAGGACTTGCAGACAGAAAGCGCCTCTATATTTTTATCAGGAGAAATATAAAAATAGGGAAAAAATCCAAGTTTGCATGGAAATCAATATTGCATCTTTGTACAATATATGCAAGTTTGATACTGAATTTCTTAATCAAACAGCTCATTAACATTGTGACTTTGTCTGAAGGCTAGAACTCTGAATTATCATTATCAACACATCACTCTTAGTAAAACATATCAACTTTAACGTAAAAAGCAGAAAACGGGAGTCCTTGCTTCTTATAAATATCTATTTTTCATTGCTACATTGGAGCTACACTATTTAACACTTCTGTTAACCTTGGGAAAGTAAGAAATGTTTAAATGGACTTCAGAAGATCTAAAATGTCTGGAAGTGTCAGACCATTGCCTATTTCTGGTCCACATCTTTACTACCCTCTTTCAGGTAGATAAATCCTTCCAGAACAATTTCAGTGGTTTTAAATTCTTAAGAACCAATTGTGAAAGGCAGGCGAACTCAGTACTGAGAGTATTTAGTCATATGTTTGTGGATATATAGGGTCCCAAGGCAGAAATCACTTGCTCCAGATATAAGAGCTATACGAGGCAACATTTGGCCAAAGAATGGATTTTTCATGATGGCTATGAGAAAGGCTTGTTACATCACCTTCATTTGAATATTGCTGAAATACTCCTGACAGCAAGACTGGAAACTTAAAAATGAAAAAAATAAAAATAGATTCTATGTACCTAAAAGAAGAACTTGTCACTTTTGACACAGCTGGTTTCTAAAACAGTGATAGGATCCAAACTGGCCATCGTTTGCAAGGGCCCATTGCTTACATAATTATCAAATGCACACGTCCCCCTCTTCCCACTCTGGATGGATGCACGTATGATCCCACTGCACTGCTGGACACTCTATGGTTTTCAAATATGTTCCTTGAGCAGTTGACTCCAATACAATTGCATTACTTCCCAGACTAAGCATCTTTAGGAAAGAAAATATCTTCAGCATGTGATCAATACTAGGATAAAACAAAGAAAAACAAAAAGAAAAAAGAAAAGAGAAAAAGAGAAAAGGAAAAGAAAAATTGTTACTGGAGAACAGTCTACTTGTGAGCAAAGGTTCAAACGACTTATGTTAACCTAAATGTGATATTCAACTTGAGCAAAATCCATCACTTCCAGATTTATCCAGGTCTTTTGATTGCTTCCATTTATAAATTCATAAGGTCTTGGTAATTAATTTTTACAGATGCTGAGAATTCTGTAATGGGAGTTACAGCACTCAGGATCATAATCAAAGAAATACACTTAATTAAAAACTGTATATAATTTAAAATAATTATCTCTAATAGAATGTAACTCGAAGGGAGTACAACCTATTTTGTTACTTTGCATAGACTGTTTGAAAATATTAACTGTCTGATAAGTATATATATATATACATATATATTTTTTTTTTTAACACAATTCAATATTCCTTTCTGTAGCTGGACTGGATGCCTTTACAAAGTTTCTGAAAACTGAGTTCAGTGAGGAGAACATCGAGTTCTGGATAGCTTGCGAGGATTACAAGAAAAGCAAAACTACACATGAACTCTTCCCAAAAGCTAAGACCATTTATGAAACATTCATAAGGAAAGATGCTCCAAAAGAGGTACAGTAAAAACATTCTTCATTGTACACAGTATTTGTCACAAATGCATCTGATGAAATCTGCCTTTAAGAAGAGCATGCCCAGAAGCAGTGGCAACAGTTAATTGTGTACTCACTGACTTCAGAAGACTGTATCTTAAATGTCAAAACTTTGGAAGGAAGCCTGGAAGCAACTGCATAGATTATTCTTGCTGTCCTCCAGGCTCCTGGCTCCAGGCAGAAACCACTGCATGGTACTCATTTAAGTGTAAACGTTATATCTCAGGAAACAAAGATTCCTAGGGGGCTATGGAGCCAGGATGGCTATATACAGGCTATATATGAATATAGAATACATATATATATATTTGTATATAAAAGGGCAGTGTGTATACACACACACACAAATATATACATACATACACACAGAGTATTTTAAAGGATAAATATTAATGATAAATGTTAATGTTGCCATGGAGACTTATCAGCCAGTGTTTGTGAAAAAATATCATCTGTCTTTAAAGCCACCTTCAGAACAACAGAATAATTCTTTCATTCTCTTTAACTAGCAATTATTTATGAAATTATTACATAGCTGAGACTCAGAAGCTTTTATTTTAAAGACTAAAGGAGAGTAGAAGAAACTTTTAAGTTAAACATCTCCTTTAAAGCAATAATTATAATGTTTTAAGCATAGATTTTTCTTGATTGATCTCCCTGCAAAGCCAAAGCTCTGGCTGAGCATTCTCGTTATGTTACTGACAGCACAAACACAAATAAGTTCATGTGTCAATCCTCATTAGCAATAAGGCCTTTTTGTATTACTGTAGTAGTACAAAGTCTTCATATTTATGTCTCCGCATTGCTGAAATTTATTGTAAAGGAATTGTATTATAAATGAGCAAAAAACATTTTTTGCCTGGTCTAGGAAGGAGATGAAGAGGTTGAGAAATGATGAACTCTCACTGAAATCAGGATCAGCTTCTTCAGTAGGCCATTTGGACTTCCAATTTCCTGTGATTCTATCAAGTTTGAGCAGATAGCAAGTTTAGCAAGTATTAGCTAAATTAGCAAGTTTGTCACTTGCTAATACTCCTTTTCCCCGTATTATTATTACTCCTATTATTATAATTATTATTATTATTTTTTTGTATTTATTTGTCAGAATAGAAGTTAAACCCTAGCTGCTACTTCCATGTAACAAGGGTGAAAAAGGTCTAATTCTTATTTTAAGAGCATTGCAAAATGGTGCAATTTCCACTCATAATTCCCACAGATTACCTTTAAGGTTCAGATCTGTTTTTAGGACAGGGGGCCAATTTGGTAGGTCCACTTGCAAAACTTATAGGCATTTTTATTGCTTTTCCTGCAGCATCTCAGTAGGGTAGACCTTACATAAAAAGAAAACCCCACAATTATTTGAGGGGCAGCAGATTGGTCTATAAGCAATTATGGTGGGGCAGCAGGCACTGATACTATCAACTCTTGAGAATGACATAAGCAAAAGGATGAGCAGGATGCAAGCCGGCGAGGGGATGGGGTATGAAAGTCACACTTTGACCAACAGTAACGAAATGATTTCTTTAACTATCGTACTTTTGGTTTGCTGCATGTGGCGTGGGTGCTGTTGTGCGAAAGCAGATGGCTCTGGTGAGACTTCCTTCCTTGGGTTCAACCAAGCAGCTGAGCCCAGCCAGCAGCATCTCCCTGCAGACCACTCAGCTCTGGAACGTGCATCTCCTCTCTGACTTCTTGTCCTTCAGAGTTCTTTTACAGACATTTTTTATTGAGCATAGTTAGATAGGATCCTAAAATAGTGGGTCTGATGGAATGGACCATTTTACCATCATTAATTTCGTCTTCATTTTTTAGATCTAAGCTATTTGTTATAGCTTTAAGGAAATGTCACGTGTCATTTCCTTAAACAATAGCATGCTACTGAAGCGACTTTTGACTGGATCAGGAATTTCTTTTTTCTTTCAAAATAGCATGCTCAAGCCTGTACCTGACACTTCAATAAAATCCTCACACTAAGTAAATCTTCCCAGAATTAATCCAACAGTACATGGAATAAATGATGATTTTGATATGCTTTCCACATCTCTAAAACCTCCAGAAGCCTATTACAATTATTTTAATATTTTAATTATTAGAATTTTCTCACCTTCCTGCCACCAAAACTCTATACAGGAGTTAGAAATTTTAAATATGCACTAGCATATTCTAATGAGATGAAGTCTACATAAATCCTAAATGAGAACGGAGGCAGTTCTGCCTTAGGCTGGTGTTGCAAGCTTGACAACAGGAACTATATAAGGATCGCCATTAGCAAATCCCTTTTACTCCAATGCTACCACAGCAAACTCGATCAGTTTTATTTTACCAGTTAGTTAACCAGTTTTTCATTGTACCAGTGACACATCTGTGAAGACTTTCTGACAGCCAGTATTCAGCTAATTCTGTGGCATTCATACACAGTTGTGTAAGGGATTCAAAGTCCTCTTATCTTTCAACCAAATATAGTAACACTTTCAACCAAATATAGTATCATTGCTACAGATAACAACACAGGAAATACATTAATGTACATTAAAGAGATACGCTTTTCTTCATTCTCCAGGTGAATTTGGACTTCCAAACCAAAGAAGTTACAAGTCAGAATATTGAACAGCCCCTCATCACCACCTTTGATGCAGCACAAAACACAGTCTACAGGCTGATGGAGCAAGACTGCTATCCGCGTTTCCTAAGATCTGATACTTATTTAAATTTGGTTAAGGGAAGAAATCCCGGTCGTCCCACTCTTAGGAGGCGGTCTCGATCTTTTACAGTCAATGATTTCCAGGGTGTGCGGCCAGACTTTACTGCTTGGTAATAGGAAACACAACCCTTACAAATTCTAGCTACTGCAAGCAAACTGTATGTGTGCTCTAAAATCCAAATCCTTAGCTGGTGTAAATATGTAGAAAACAAAATTGCATGCATTTATACCAGGCCATAGTTCTGTTACCAGTGAGTAATCTCATTTATCGTAGCTAAGTGGGCACTATATATTGGCAAGACATGTTGTGTGAACCTTTTGTACAGTATTTTTTTTTAACTCAGTCAAGAGCTGTTACCATATCTGAAAGAAGAATCTGAGTTTCCAACATGAAAATGTTGTTTAAAAGGCCATTTGATAACATCCATCATATATTCTGAGCCTGTATTATTTAAAACAGTTTCATCACAATTTGAATCTATATACACAACCTTTGCACATAACTTTGTTTTTTGCAGTATTTCCTACACTAAGCACAGAATATTTCTGGTATTTCTCATATTGCAAAACACATGGGAACATTAGTTGGGTGAAATGTAAAAATTATATGGATTTTAACTACAGCCACTGCATAATTAAAATTTAGCTATTGCATATTTTAAGAGAATCATAAGAAAGCCTATTTAATTTTTATAGGGATATATTTTGTACTGTTTTCTTATGTGTGTCTGTTCTCTCTGTTCTCTCTATTTAAATTATTCTGTATAAATTCGCTTTGTCATCACGTGTTCTATTTTTTTTGCAACCAAACAAGCAGCAATCAAGAACCAAGAATGCTATTTTAATGGAATGTGTGTTAATATCAAGTAATGTATATATATAAATATTCACTTTTATTTGTAAATACTCATGTTATACCACCTTTGTTACTAAACTTTGTTCTAATTTTTGTCTGCCTTTTAATTTTCAGACTCTTTCAAAATAACAGCTCTTGGACTAAGTGGAATAATGTTCAGTTCTACCTGTCATAGATGTACTCTCTGTGGGTGTAGAGCAGGAAGGAAGAATCCCCCATTTTATTTGTTTAAAGTCATGCATATCATTTTCGTAGCAAGCATATGCAACCACCCTTTTCTTTCAGGATTGATGCAGACGTATTTAGAAACATGGGGAAATTCTTAAAATCTTACATGTTGGTTCTGTTCAGCAACTAAGTGACTCCAGGCTTTAGTTGGAACTGTGACTTGTACACGCAGTCACCTTGCATAGAATGTAAGCTTTCTCCCTTTTCCTTCTCGTTCAGTAAATGGTCAAAGTGATGAGGTGCAGCTCATCATGAATTTTATGTTCAGTACTAATTCAGAGCATATATGAACTGCTTGTTCTGAGGACTTCAGTGTCTGCTTTACTAACTTTCAATAAATCTGAAGTGATCTACTTAAAAAGTTGCCAGGATTCAGTTTATCACTATTATGTTGATTAAAACAAACAAACAAACAACAACAACAAAACACAGAAGCTTCCCTTCACTTATAATTAAATAGTAGCTATAATCAATGCCATTTCAATCAAAAGTGGTAAGCAAAGCACAGAGACACAGAACTCACCAGGTGATGCTGCTGAGTGGCAATGACCCAGGATCAGTGTTCTCCAAGCTCTTTGTTTTACCTGCTAAATAAATAGGAAACACATTTGCAGTTGAGGAATGTGATCCTTCCTGATTTATTCTATTACTCTTCCCTAGCCCCAAAACTCTGGGCAGAAGTTTCACACAAGTGAATGCTGCAGTCACTATTTTTAAGACTGTAAGTGGTCAGAAACTGGGCACGGTGATTCGGGAATAAACTGAATGTTTTTAGCAGGTTGGTATCGTACTTCAGTCACCCTTATCAATATAAAGTGCAGCTTTGGAGCTTGTCAGCCTCCATTTTTAAAGAACTGTCAACATTCCTGTTGTCATTGTTACAGGCGTCACATGAAGGAGTGAATGCAGTGAACAGGCAACTTTATAACCCAATTTCACTGCTGAAGTCGGTGTATTTGTCTAGATGGTTGATTTAGCCTTGTTCTTTGACTGCGTCTCCCCTAAATGTGAATCAATTCTTCTCAGAATCCTTTTAATTAAGGAATCCCTAGTATCACCAACAATGGTGCCGGAGTTCCCAGGTATTTAAAATATGCATTTTCTTATGCTTTGTATTACTGACTTTGTTTGACATAGAGAACAGACCACCCCAAGGTATTCCATTCTTTGTGGTATAATCAAATTATTCAAACCCTTAAAAAGCAGTAGCTATTACCCTATTTGGATATTATTCATATCAACGACTCACTCTGAGTCCTTTTTCTGCAAACATGTAGAGAAGACTGTCATTTTTTTCCTCATTTATTTGCACGTCCAGCTCTTGGCCCTAAGGTTTTGATGTCTGAAGATGGTCTGGGAAATATCAGTTCATTATTGCCTAAACCTTTATATTCTGCCTATCCCCTTCTTGCCTTGTGCATCACTACACAGCCATCCTTTACTGTAGGTCTCACTATTTTTTGCCCAATTATTCTTGCATAGTGTCTGTCTACAAGCAAGCCTCCTGTTTTCCTCCCCAAGCTAAATCATGCATGCAACCAGTTAGATGGATGAATTAACTGCTGCTCACAATATGTACCTCTGTGCACAAAAACTGAGTAGCCATTACTGCACCCAAAACGTTCTTCTGTGTGCTCACCTATCTGAATGATATCCTGCCAAATGCCTCACTTGGTAGTTCACTTGGGAGGTAGCGGTGGGTCTGTTACAACATGGGCATAAGATTTAGATGTTTGCAGCTAGATTCTCAACTGGTGTGATTCTGTTCCTCCACACCAGCTAAGAATCTGGACATTTACTCTTACCATGGATTAAATAAATTTAAAAGACTGTGTATATTCAATACATGTCCAAAACCCAGACAAATGACAAATACAATGCTTTGGGTAAGACGTTTTCTACTCAGCAAAGAAAGCCCAGCTGTTAGTCAAAAGTGTCTGTAACGATAAATGTAAGTAAGCAGGCGCCCTTTGTTTCATTTCACAGAAACATGGAAAATTTTGCTTATCTCCAGGGAGGCCTTCCTCAAAACCATCACTCTGTGGTACTGACAGTGCTAGTCTCTTTTATGAGTTTTATAATGACAGCAAACAAATAAGATATTCTTGGTAGCTATTTATGCATGTATGTTTTTCAGAGATAATTATGAACCAGAACTGAATTTACAGCAGACTAATGCCATGGGAACTACTGTAAGAAGACAGTCAAGATAAACTCAGAAAAAGGAAAACAAAAGGCACAAAGATAAACCAAAATAACATAATTATCTGGCAAAGGGTTCTTTTCTAAAAGTGGCTCCTTTTAGTGGCAAAAAAATTAGTGTTCTATTGTAGTTCTGGAAAATGCACTAAACATAGATTTAGGACAAGTCTGTGAGGCTTTTTCCAGGAGTCAGTGAAACAGGATTGATCAGACTAGCCTTGCACTGGTGTATTTATAGTATAAACCTCAGAACAGAGCCAGAAATCATAGTTAGGTTTCTGTAGGTTTGGCAGAATCAGTGTCATAGTTATGTAAATTGTTTATCTGACCTAGTGCAAATAATATATACAAAGCCTATTGGGCACGTATTTTTATTGGGAATTATTTTATGTAGCAGCATTTTTGTAGCATCAACACAATACTTCACCCCTACAAAAACACTTCACCTTACTCCTTGCATATATGAATTCTTGAGACCGAATGTATGAGGGAAATAATCTACTGAATTGTGTCGGTTTGTTGCCTGTTTGGATACCCAGGTCTGATTAGATGCATTGAATTAGCTAAAATTATCATCTGCCATTCTTAGATTGAGGGAGATTGAAATACACATGTATACATTTTTTTTTTTGGCTTTTAGGATTTGATTTGCAAAAGACAACTAATTTTTGAACTGACAAGGAACAAGAAGAATGAGATCTAACATAACGGATCTCAAAGAACAGGACAGATTTCTATCTTCCACTAACGTAGGCAATTGGTAATAAGGCTCTTATAAGCCTCTACATGCTACAGTTTATAAGTGACTCACAAAAGGCAGGTCATTTTTTTCTCTTTTCTTTTTGTCCCCAGCTGCTCAGCCTGCCTTAGTTGACTACTGTTTTGAATGCAGTTGCATCTCCTTTCCAAATTCTTTTCCATGCTTACTGTCAAAAAAATGGAAAAAAAATGCATAAAACCATCTTCCTCTCTTCTGTGATCCATATGCTTATGCACATACACCTTGCTCAGATACCTGGCCTAGATCCCTCTCTGTTTTTTACATTACAGCCAAATGCTTCAATCAAATAAGCTTTAAGCTCCTGCGTGGCTCTGTGCCAAAGATATAAATATCTTTCCTCCATACAGCATCCAACTTCCCTCCATTCCTACTTTTTTCTTGCTAATGTCTTGTTGCTACATTCCATTTTTTTTTTTTACACCAACCACATAGAACTCTCTTTGTAAATGCTCCCTGTTTATCTAGACCATGAGGTTTATAATTTAGGCTTTATCTTCGCCTTCATTATGAAACGTAGCTAAAATTCACTAGCATGAAATACAATAACGGACAGCAATTCATAGTTTTCAAACAGAAGATTAAGCTGAAGCCCAACACAATGACAAGCCCTAAACTGTTGTTTCTCCACCATGCCATTTGCTTATACTCTTGTTTCTACACAACTTTCCAGACCCATTTTAAATTTAAAGCTACTATTGAATCCTAATGTGGACTGTTCCCCTCAGGGGAACGCAGCAAGAGCTTTTCTGCAACATACACATACAGGCACACAGGAGAAGTGAGAGATATACTTCCAATAGTCTTCCACAAAAATAAGGCAACCAAGAACATCTATATTTCGGTTTTCCTTTTCATCCATTTCCTAGTACAGCTTGGCTTGGGACCCACCACCAGCAAGGCACCACTTAAGAGAAGACTGATATGGAGAATTATGGTTCAAGAGCCTTCTGAGGCATCATGCCTACCTTTCATACATTCTTGTGTTGGTGCAATTCATACCCATATCCAAGCACAAGGTCACAAAACGGTCTTTTACATTTGCACTATATAGGCTCCTTCTGCAAACTGACGTTTTGTGAAGTCTGATGTTATATAAATAAGAGTTTATTCATCCAGGGCATGATCTGTGACAAACAATCTGCCAGCTAGTGCTAAACAAGAATCTTCAAACTTGCACGTTTTCTTGAGAATTGTCAATTCTCCTCTACTGTAGATATGTGTTAGTATAGGATTTGGAAATCATGCATATAAGGAGCCTAGAATGATGTAAAACATTTTGACAGATTGTTCTTGAAATCAAATCTTTTACCTGAAGGGCACACTTTGCTTGGGTGGAAAATAACAGCTTATTTCCTTATGCAAAAAAACCCTCAGTGGCACACCACAGAGATATTCACATGGAAAAAAAAAAAAAAGTAGTAAGTTGACCGCACCATGCTATTAGAAGGTGGAAGGCAGACATTTGCATAGTGCTGTGATTAAAATGTATTTGCATCCCATATGACAGGTGGTGGTTCCCTTTTACTTGGATGTTGGCCGTACTCCACTCATCTTGGCTTCTCCCGATGTCAGAAAGGTAGTAAAGTCTACATGTACTTGAATTACTTGGACCAAGAGAACATTAACTTTTCTGCCGAGGTTATGTTATACAGAACACTATCCAACAAGGCTCAGTGTGGAATGGATTCAACAGAGGCCAGGTGCTGAAGGGCAATGACATATTGAACCTGATCCAGGGGAAACGCCAAAACTGCTGTTGGAGAGCGTGACCTTTTCTTACGTTGAGTACAAGGTGAGTACAAGGCAACCCTGTCAGGAACATATATAAATGCAACGGATTTCTTAGGCTAATACACCAACAGTTTGAACGTGAGCAGATGTTTTATGCTGCCTGTTGAGATAAGTATCTAGCTCAGGTGTGGCTCAGTGGAACACAAACTGACTTGCTTAATTTACCTAATCAGCCAATAGCTTTTCATAAAGGCAGATAACTTAGTGAAACCAACGCATAAAGATACATAAAAATTGAAAGATAAATACCATTAAAAAGTAAAGAAGTAAGCCTTAAAGTTCAAAAGATTCAAATACTTAATAAATCAATGGTTCTTATCAGGTAACATCAGCAAAGGAAATGTGCAACTGATAGATCCATGTTCCCTTTCCTACAGTTCTAGCTCTCCTTCAGCCTGTCAAATGCAGGAGACTCAGAAATCCATAGTGCAGTCAACAGTTTTAAGTCAGAAGCCTCACAGATTTTATTTTTTTTTTAAATACACTGAAATCACCTAACCAGATATGGGTCTGAGCTACTTTGCAAGTCCAGTCTGGGTTATTAGCGAACTGAAGCTGCAAACATCAACACCAGCTGCATCCAGATTTCCAGAAAGTTTGGAAATAATTCTATGTGTAATTTCCAGCCCATCTCTAGTACATCTTCATATTTCTCTTTGTTTGCTTAATGCAGTATATTATGAATAATTAACACATCTGCACAAGCAGCTGATGTATTTATTTTGTAATACCGAGACAATTATTCTCATTATGAAATTTCAGTAAAATATTAGGGTTCCTTTTCAGAAATTATTAAATTCCAAACAGAGGAGTTTTACAACAGAAATTCTTAAACTTCTTATACTAACAGCTACTCATTATGGGAAGAGGTGACTGTCTAACTTCGGTATAGTATAGTTGTGATATCTCTACTGGGATAATAAGAATAAGCCTACTACCTGGTAATGATTGTTATATCGTCTTTGCAAGAGTCACATGCTGCCAAAAGGATACCTGAAAATAGACTGTATTTCTGGAATACAATCAGCTTACATACACTAAGCAGGCACCGGGCAGCATATTACACGATGGTGGAAGTCTCTCATTTGTTCTTTGTTCTTTTATGAACTGTGATCAGGTTTCCATCTAAGCACCTGGCCAGCTGACATCTATTTCATCAAACCATCAGCACAGAAATAGCATGTGGCTGCCAGTCAAGCAAGGTAAAGGCCCAAATGGGCCAGGGAGCTTAAGCTATCCTATTTACACCAGAGACATTCTTCCAAACACAGGCTGGGGCATGCTGCACGCTGGCAGATGATATGGAGAAGGTGATATTGTGCTTCCCAAGGTCCCTGGGAGCTGCCTGTCTTTGCCAGCTTCCAGTGATAAGTAGCCCTTAAAATGCAATAGCAATCTGATTGCGTCCAGCTAGTTACTTTGTGTGCTAGTCAGAACACTTGTGGGTGTGAGCACCTACTAAAGGCAGTAATACTGAGCCTGAAAGCATCTTATCTGGATGCCTAAAGACTAAGCAAATCATGATGTCGAAAATGAGGCACTTACTTGCAAATGGAAGTTACATTACAGAGCATCCAGCACTATCCCCAGCTGGCAGTTCAGTATCAGTTTTAAGACCTGAGCCCTTGCATCTAAATTATTATCCTTCGTGTCTTGCTTTCCAATAGATTTCACAATTACATTAACCATATCTTGCTCTATTCTCAAGGCAAAAAATATTTTTTCTATACCACAGAAGAGATTAAGAGCATAACACAATAAATGCGTGTTTTTTAATTATACGTTCAGACACTCTTTATATGCTGTTTACTGTTCACAGTTTACCATTACAAATACACACTATCTTCATGCTGGATTTAGCAAGTTCATCTCCAAATTATGAAATCACAGCCATATTATTTAATAACAAATACATTGGTTATGTGAAAACTGGCCAAAAATAAGTACATTCAGTTAGTTTCAGTAAGTTTGCACAGCCTTCTATTTCTGTATTAAAATGCTAAATCAGCGATCATGAACCATAAAAACAAAATTTCAATGGTCATTGAACATTAACTAACAAACTAAAAATGTCTCACTCTTAGAAAATTCAAGTTTTAACTATTTACAGTCTGTCCAGCCACAATCTCTATAAATCAATATTGTTTACATTTTGTACTGTGTTTATTCTCTTTTACCAGGCTCAAAACTGGGACTAAATCAGTCACAAATGATTTAATGTAACTTCAGATACTGGAGGTTTGCCCCCTGCCTGTAAGATGCTGAAGTTAGTCTTAATAACACAATGGATGGAAGGGTTTTGGTTCTGTCTGGCACTATGTTATAGTCCAGGGTATATATTCTGTAGAAATGAGACAAAATAACTAATTAAGGGAAATGAGAAGCACTGTAGAGAACCAGGTTGATAGTTCATATTTCTGTCATTCTAATATTACTTGCAGAAGCAGGTGGATTTGAAGGTAAGAAATTTGAAATGGGAAGAAAACAAGATCCACATTTTGCTGCCAGGAATCTTGTTTAGCATTAAAAAAGTAGGACTGGGTCATCATTTCTAGTTTTCTACTATCAAAGGCAATAATGTAAAATTATCTCTTTCATAAATATATCAAGCTCTGTCTTTGAAGAACAGAGGAGTAGAGAGGACAAAGATCCTACTGGGAGACCGTTAACAATGACACTTTCTGAAGCCTCCTTCTGATTTCCAGCCTAAAATTACTCACTGTCTGTTTATAACCGTTTGTTCTTTTTACTAATATGTTCCTTAAGCTAAAATATGTATATATTTTCCCCTCCATTAAAGGAGAATAAGGGAAGCTGGGTAGACTGGCTGAGCAAAGGATGATGCAGCAGCACAAGATTTGGAGGGAGGCAGGAAACCAGCCAGGAAGCCTGCTTGATCAGGAGAGCAAGGAGAACACAGGGAAAGAAAAAAGCTGAGGAGGAAAGAATAGAGAAAGAGCAGAGAGATCACATAAAGAGCAAAAGACAAAATGATATGAGAATGTTTCTGGGGCAGAATGGTGCTTCTAGAAGGGAACAACACAGAATGAGTTAAGACTGGAAGAAATCATCACATCAAAATTTTCAAAAATCACATGATATCATTTGTAGCAGTATCAATGTGAGCAGTCTTGCTTGAATAAACAACAGAGAATGGTAAAAGGGCCTTAGACCTTCAAGATGTATAAGGTAATGGATAAGTTATACATGTACTTACTGCAGATACAACATAAGAACAAATAAATATAATGAAAAATTGCTAGTTATGTGCACTGAATCTGTTTTCATTCCTTGTTTTCCACTCTCAGTAAGCCAAACACAAAATAATTTCTCTGATAAGATGTTTTTCAGAGCATAAATGTGTTTTAAAAGATATTTGCATATAAATTGTATTAAATTAAAATAACTACCTTTGGTAAATTAAGATAGAAGGGTGAAATTCTATTTTTCTGCTTTATTTTTCTGGTGAAAAATGAGCCACGTTTCTGAAAGAAAAATTTAAAGGAGGTGTTATAAACAGGTTGTCAATTTGCATCGTACTCTTTGGTGATTCACGTGCTAATTGTATTGTTCCTACTGTCATATTACCTTCAGCTTGAAGATCAGTCAGAAAAAGAAATTCTGCTCTACCTGTGACAGGCAGACAGTGGAACAAAAATGCCAGTGAAGTGAGTTGCTTTTTATGGCTATTTTAATCTTAGGAGATTTGTGGGATGGTCCTTGGGTTTTGAATGACCTGGACAGTTTTTATTTTCTCTCCCCCTTTATAGTGTTATGTTTTGGTTCCTTGTTGTCAATTCTGCTTGCTATTCCTATTCAAGTAAATCCAAAGAGATCAGTGAGATCATTCTCCAAGTGATAAACAAACATTAAATTAAATAACATTACTCATGAGGAAGAGAAGCAGAATTAGGTTCATCCTGTCTTGTCTTTATCTTTCATTATGCGTCTTTTTTTGACAGGAAAATTCTTAAGTGCTCACTGAAGCACCCCAAAATTTGTTAGATTTGATTTGTTTATTACAGTAGCTAAAAGAAATTATCTGCTGATTAATCCCATTAGCACACGACACCTCACAAAGTACTACATAATGCTACATTTAGGTTTCATTTATTTTTAATCCAGACCGAATATATTTGCACTCCAGTTTCCCTCCTGTATGTGTGCATATGTATGTCTAAATATATATATTTTAATTCTGTTTGAATTAGACTGCATTTTGTGCAGTCTAGCTATAAGCAAATTGACAACTACAAAAATGCTTCCTTCCTAAAGTTGTCAGTGCAAAAATAAATTGTAATTTTTATAAACATAACTGCAGTTACTTAATACGATGCCATCACATAAGCTTTTGATAAATTTACAATTGTAAATACCATTACTGGTACACACGGTAGCATGAAGTAAGTGTTCTTGTGTCAGTGTCACAAGCCCAGCCCAGAGGAAGCAGCACAGCACGCTCAGGCAGGTGCTCCAGCAGAGCAGAGGCCTTTTCAACTCCATTTTTGGTGCTCCAGCAGAGCTTTTCCACCCCATTTTTGGTGCACCCACTTTTCTCACCCCTCTGTATCATGGCCAATTAGTCAGCTAGTGCCTTGTGATTCTTTTCCAACCCAGTGACGACCTCCTGTACTTTTGGTGAGGCCTGTCTGCCCTCAGGACACCAGCTGCGGCCTAGGCCGCAGGCAGAACATTATGCTCCCTGAATTTGCATGTCTGAAACCAAAAAGACCATCTTAGAAGAATCTTTCAGTACAGAGTGACTAACCTCCACAGAAATTAATTTTTTTTTTTTTTTTTTTTTTTTTTTTTTTTTTTTTAACACAAACAAGGACTAATCAGAAAATAAGATTTCTGTTTCTGGTAAAAATTCAGGGATTTGTTTTGATTCTGCACTGAAACGAAATGTTTCCAAATTTTCCAGTTCTCCCTTTCTTACCACCAAATGAGAAAGAGGATGCACACAAATGATTCCAGAGCTGCCAGTATGTCAAGTGACTACTGTGTTCACACAGAACGTAAATTAAGTTTCAGATTCCCCGCTATCATAACCTATATGAGATAGATAACCACAGGATTAGAAAGTTGGTTTCCTCTCTAGCTATTTGTATAAAATATGACAGTTTCAACAAAAGCAGCATGAGATGGTCTAAACTGAATATGAATGAAGCCTTCCCACATTACAAGAAAAAAAAAATCCCCCCACTTAGCACGCAGTTCCCTTATCTGACGCCCTTCTGCCTGTCAGAGCTTGTGGGTGCCCGCTGCTGGCCTCCACACCACGCCTTGCTTTCGAACCACCTTGGACTTCTTCAGAGCACTGAGGTAGAAGCAAGGCTCCGTTTAGTTCAGTGTCTCATTTCAACAGAAGCCTACAGCGAGTTACAAATGAAGAGCAAAAGCTAAGAATTTGTTCAATTGTTTTATACCACTAAGAAACTGAAGAAATGCCCATTATCCTGCCACTGTTAGCTAGTATGGTAAACGTTTGGATAATTCTACTCAGTCCAAGGAAAAAAAGTATCAAATTAGTGGTTAATTCATCTGAACTTGAAAAGAAATTCTGTACACACTCCAGAACATTAATATCTCTCCTATGCCTTTATTGTAGTTCAACCAATTGCAAACACTATTACTTCTGTCTCTTGGGTGAATGATCCAGTTGCCAGTGCTAAATAACATTCTACTTTATGAGTCTATCTGGTTCTCTACACTCTTAAAAAAAAAATAAAAAAAGAGAAGAAAAATGTGTCACGCTTTGTGCTGACTTTCTGCTGTTCAATAGGCAGGGTAATATGAACTACCCTGTTCCCTCAATGAATAGCCAAATAATAGAGTAGTTACCGCGGCCTGCAAAGGCAAAAGATCACAATGCTATTTTCAAGGATAGATGTTGTTTCCACAGGTCAAACATTGAGGAAACAATGGCTTCGTCTGACTCCGTAGATACGCTACTAGCTAACAAAGGTAAGGAGTACTTGAAGAATAGTAAACAGAACACAACCACGTGCCAAACCAACTCCCAGACATTGTCGTCAGGTTTGCACACTGGTGCCCACCCAATTCGCCACATGCTTTGAGCCACACCAGTGCTACCAGTGCTATGGCTGGAGGCATCTGAGCTTGAATCAATTTCGGACTTATTGCTTGAAAGGAGATGAAGGTGCTGTCTGGCTGGGCTAACCTCAGCTCTACAAGCAGCATGCCACCGCAGTAAGAACTCATTTCCATTGTGCTGCTTAGTCCAGGGGCCAGCCCCAAATCCTCAGCAACCAACATGTCCTAGATCTCCTTTTGAACTAGCAGCATTAGAGACACCAAACAACACTGGGAAGGTACTTGGTATATTCCGCAGTTAATTCTAAAAGAAATCCAATCAACACCTTAACACTGTTCGTTTATTCTCCTATTTATTTCCCACCCAACAGCCTCGTTGGGCTAACTCCTGGATGACAGACAATACATGACACTACATACCCCATATATATGTATATACATACACACACAGATATATAAACTGCATTGGTCTTTTGGCTTTCCTCTACCCATCATCTCATGCATTTTTCTCCAGATGGCTTGGAGGCTTTTAGGAAGTTTTTGAAGTCAGAGTTCAGTGAGGAGAACGTAGAGTTCTGGCTGGCTTGCGAGGACTTCAAAAAAACCAAATCCTCCACCAAGATCACTTTAAAAGCCCAAAGGATTTATTCTGACTTTATAGAAGCTGATGCTCCAAAGGAGGTAAATACTTTTTTGCATGTACTTTGGGTACTTACTGAAGATGGGAATAAAATGGAAAGTTCAGGTCCAAAGTTCCTGGAAGGACAGAAAACACTGTTCAATGTGGTTTCTCTTCCATTTTTATGACAATCGTTTACCAGGTGGAAAACACTGTGAAACTCTGAAGCAAACAAAGATCTCTTATGGTTGAATGCAATATGCAACATTCTTCACATGGGGCATGTGTTTATCTCACCTTCAGAAATTTGTCTTATGATTTAAGGAAATATATGTTCAATACAATTTGCTTTCCCTAACTGTTTTCATGCAATAAGCATGATTTCCTCCATGTTCTAGGTACAAGCATATTGGGATGTTAATGATTGTATCTGTTCATTTTCTTTTGTACAGATATTTTTGCTGTGATGAATATTAAAATGTAAACTTGAAAAAATTTCTATCACAGTATTCCATTTTATCATTATTTAAAAAAAACAAAACTCATTGTGGAGGAACAAATTGCTAATTAATTGTTGCTTCGATGTATGATTCCTGATAAACTTTAATGCTGATGTTTTTTGCTCTTGACAGTGACCATGCTTTGATTGTCTCCATGTCTTATGCATGATTAAAATCCATTTAATTACTATTAAGAGCAAAAAATCCTTGCCAAATGAGTAAGGCCCAAACCTAAACTGATGTAGAATATCTTCATCTCTATTTTACTTATTAGTAAACTATACTTCATAGGATTTTGTCTGGCAAGATGAGATAATCAGAAACAAGTTTCCCCGCCCCCCCCCCCCCCCCTTTCTTTTTTTTTCAGTGATGCCAACTTTTAAAGAACCAAATAAAATACAAGATTCAGCATGCTAGAAAAGAAGGGAAGAACTCCCTGCTAATTTGCATCAGCCAGGATATTTGGGACGAAGGTCAAATGCTGATTGTGTCCTGTACACAGACTTCAGCTTTTCAGTCAAAATGAAATTGATTTTTTCCTCCTTTCTTCCTACAGATAAATATTGACTTCCATACCAGAAACCACATCTCTCAGAACATCTCCGAGCCCACCCTCAGTTGCTTTGATGATGCTCAAAGGTTAATTTATAGTCTCATGGCAAAGGACTCTTTTCCCAGGTTTCTAAGGTCAAACGAGTATAAGGAACTAGTAAAGAAGCAACAGAATAGAAATCAAAAAAGGTGGCTCCCATTTTTGTGAAAATGGAAATGGGAAAGACTTGAGTTATTATGAATTTATAAATGTCTCCTGTTGCAGACCAGTACAGGTAATATTTTATTAAAGTGGTAGTAGAAACCAGAACTAGTGTGTTTTTAAGTATGATAAATATATGATTTTTTTTTTTTTTTTTTTCTGCTAAATTTGGTGGAGAAGTATCCTAGAAACAGAATGGAAACAAGCTAAGACATTTGAATTAACTTTTCAGTTAAAAAAAAAAAAAAAGAAAAGAAAGAAGTTTGCTATTAAATTTTCCAATACTTTCTTTGTTAGTCAAAGTGTTTTCACATTTTGTAAACAGAATGTTCTGGTTTCCTGGTTTGCCATTGGTTTTTCTTTAGAAGTATGGCCTCAAAAAATAAATTCCTTTCAAGGAACTTAAATACTTTTATTCACCTTCTTATTTGGAATTGGTAAAATAAATAAATAAATAAATAGAAGTTAAAAACCTCTTTTATCAGGTTCTGTACCAGTTCAAAAAACGGAGAAATACAAGAAATATGGTAGATACCATACTGTGTATGATAATAAATTAAGGAGAATATTTAATAAACAGACGCTTTCTGACAAATGTTCCTGGCATTTAGAATGTTTCACTATGAAACAGTGAATGTTTCATACTACAGCCCTCTTTAATACTTTCTTTGGGTTTATTTCATTTAATTTTTTCATTGAAAATTTTCATTTATTAATTGCATAGGCATTTTGGAAAAGAAGTGGAAACCTTTGTACATTTTCTATTAAAAATTCATTTTCTTTGCTTTTCCAAATGTATTAATTGTACTGTCTACTTACACTCATGACAAAGTAATGTCAGTAATGATTTTTTTTTTTTTCCAATGAAATAAAGGTAAGCACAAAAGTAGGCCAACAGTTTTAGACAAATAACCACATAAATCAGAATTTAGTGCATGGTGTCACAAGATATAAAAAGATTCTAGTACTATCTTTGCATGTCTACAAGCACGCACACAATGAATGATCTCATTCATTGCTACTAGAGGATTTACTGCATATCTTTAGGTGAAGGAAGGAGCTATGGCATGCTCTTCAGGAAAAAAGCATTCTAAACCATATGGGACAGGAAGAATATTCACAATAGAAAATAGTTCTAAACATAAGAGACAAAAATAAGATTTAAAAACAAACAAACAACAACAGATAAACACCAACCAACTTTCATTTGATATGAATTTAATTCTCTTGCTTTGAGTTGCTCTCCAGGGATCCCTCCCCTTTTTTGGAACCCTGCTCCTCTCGCCTTCTACATACACATCATATACACAAAAGATCCTCTCTATTTTATCAAAATAAATTAAAGAACCAGTTTGTTTAGACAATTAAGGACATTAAGCAGTCTGGAAGCCCTAATATGCTGCTCTCAGTTATGTACTTAGGTACCACAGCTTATGTAGGTGAATTTGGTGTAAAATAGCTACTCTGTGATACCCACAGCCTAGGCTATTACCTACATTTTCTTCTTGCTTTCTGCATTTCTTTTCATTTCTTTATTCCCCAGCATTAGTGGTTAACAGAGAAATGAACATGAGCACTGAGGTTGAGCTACAAGGAGGATGTGGTTTTGTTCTGCAGTCCCACAGCTACCATTCATTTTGCAATGATACTTCAGTGGAAAATTGCAGCTTCCGCCTGCAGCGCAGCCTCGGCATCACTTCTGCACTGGGGAATTTCTGCTGATTAAAGTCACAGTGAAGACAGCGATCAGGATAGCTGAAATTATATGATTTACTCAAAAACGTAGCAAGTCATTTTTCCCTCTTAAAATCCAAACCTCATTTTCAGAAGAGAAAATGCCCACATGTAGGAAGAGGCAGGATCAAATCACCTGTCTTAATAGGTCAAGTAGAAAACCAAAAAATTCTGCTGCATCAATTGTTAGTGACACATGGACAAAAAGTACCTCGAAAATAGATGTGCGATAATGAAATCTCACGTCAGTACTCCTTTAAAAATTCCGCACTTTTGACTTCATCACAAATTGAAATAGAAAGTGCAGACAAGGTGGCTGCTAGGGATCTTTGATTCCTGACTGTTTGAAAACACAGGATAAGGAGAAGTTAAATATAAAACAGTCTAACTTGATAAAAACAATGCATGCTATTTTTCTGATAACTCTATAAAACAATAGTAGGAAGCCCTCAGTGTCGATACATCCTATGTCCACCGCGGTTGGAGATCTGACTAATTCTCTTAGCATAATTCTCTTAGCACAATTCTCTTCAGCATAATTGTCATCAATAGAGGAAACCGTTCTTAACATATCAGCATTTGACATTCATTTTAACAATTACTTAATAAAGTACCATGGATGGTTTTAACACTATTTCAATTAATTTAGAAAATTTAAGCAGAAATGTACAGTAATTGCACTTCTAAGGGTTATCACAGACTGAAGTGTAATATAAAAATACTAATTTTTCATAGCCCCTGATTAAAATTATATTAGCTTTAATTAATTAACAGAGTTAGTAACAAATTTGTTGAGCAGACCTTTCAACCCTTTTATAAATTAGTCTATTTCTGGAGCTTAAATATGAGATGAAACTTTGCAAAGTTTAAATATACGATCGATTTAAATTTGGATATATCCATTGATAATTGGATGTGTGCGCACAGTTAATTTTTCAAGCCTTCAGAGCACTATCTTAGTGTACAGCAGGCAACCAAACAAAAGAATCTACAAGCGGATTGAAGTGTTTTAGAGTTGGGCAATCAAATTTCTGAACATTTATATAATACAAGATGTGTATTATCGAAGATACATTTCAGAAAGCATCTGAAAACACCCAGATGAGAAAGCTGGGAGCTGATAGTCTTTATTTCTGTTTATCCTCTGGATTTAAAACTGATGCTTCAAACTTTCACATGAAAAAAACTCAAAACCAAGCATCCAAACTCTGGTAGTTTGGCACAGGAAAAGGCTAGGAACAGAAGAACAACTTAGAAAACTGAATTTTGCCCAAATCCCAGAGCTTTACCAAGAATTTCCAACATGAGCTCGGCCCTTTTGTATAAACTGTTGAGCAACAAATATGAAATGGAGAGGTTACCTCCACCTTCCATTGAAATGTAGTACAGATGTGCCCATTAGCATTTAGGGAGTGTGCAAATACTACAGGAAAGCTGGATCTGTGGTTGGGCTTCAGAGTGATCCTTCAGACCAAAGCCACTTAACATCAGTCAGAGAAACATCTGCAATGCCGAAGCCACTAAAGCTTGAAAATCCCAGATATAAATTTGTGGAGAGGGGTCACAAATAATTCCGTATGTTTGTAAATCACCTATTCCTGTGGAACATCAAGTGCTAACATGTTACCAGAATTACTTATACTACGAACAGTTTGGGGTTGTAAGGGAAGAGAAGAAAAGACTGCAGTGTTAACAATATTCAGCATTATGCTTTCAACAATTATCTTACAAAATTTATGGCAGATTTTTTTTTTAAGCTAGTCTGCAATAAAAGGATGAAGAAAATACTGTTGTGCCTAAATAGAAAGCACTCACAGAAAGTTCTATTAGGAAGAATGTTTGCGCTGCAACCCTCCCACTTGCTTTCGCTAAAAAATAAGAAGTGATTATTTATTCGGTTTTTCTCTATTTACAAGTCCAAGTCAGGCAAAAATCTCTATTTTGAGAACCATTTTTAGAGGACTCAATCTCTTTCAGAACAAAAAAAATCATGCCAAATATAAATGTTAGTAATAAAATTGGGTTTATTTTTTAATAACACTGCATTTCTTAAAACAAAACCAAACCTTGGCTCCTGCATGCAGTGACAATCCTAAACCTCCCACAGCATCTAGACTCGCAGACTGCCAGATCCATCATGCGCACATCATGACAGAACTGTCCCAGAATTACAATTAAAGGCATACAAATATTATAAATAAATAATAATAAGCAAGTAACAAACAAGTTCTATATATTCTCTCTCTCTATATATATACGTTTTATAAGTTTTATATATATAAATTACATACATATAAAATAAAGGCATAATTACATCCTCAACACAGGACTGATTCCATGCTTGCCCTGAAGCCCAGGATCCTGAGTTACAAGCAGCCTGGTGTATTTCCAATGGCAGACTGGACTTTGCAAGACTCCTACCTATGCTTTGTCAAAGGTTTGTCAAATTCTGCACACCTCTGTGAATATTGGATCTGAAAACTTGGCATTCTGCTTTTATCAGAAAATTTCCTGCTAAAACTGTAACCCAAATGTACTTGAACACGCACACTGAGCCCCAGGGTTTGCACAAGACCCTCCTAGACTCATTTCAGTCTCGATCCAAAGAGAACGCTTGAAAAAAAAAAGTTCAAAATACTGAATCCCTCCAGCAGTGTCTGCTGCTAAATAAGAAGATTATCATGCTAAGATGATTAGAGGAGTTTAGCACCATTAACCTGCACTGAATAACAATTTTGCTTGTGTACCCAAATGTGTTAGTCTAATATCCATCTCTGATTACACAGTTGTCATCGTATTTAAGTAGGAATTCAGTTAACAATTTCCATGCAGTGCTTTCCTAAGGCGTTTTTATTGATGTCGAAGCTCTGGAGATCCATGAAATCATTATAACATTCTTACTCCTGGAACGTTGAAGCACATTGTGGGCCTGAAGCACTGAATATATTTTCTACCTTTTCTCAAGCCATGAAAAGAGGAATTGCCATGTTTGTTAATACTGGTTAGATCTCAGGTAGCCTAAGAAGTCCATGTTTTATTACGTGAGTAACAAAAACAAGGTCCTCGTGCATATTCACCTTCAAATACTGTGTGATGTGCAGTCTTTACAGTGCTTAGAATTATAATTGTTCAGTACTGTAATTTTGAACTAATTCATTTAGCGACAAAGTATTTTGAAGGACTGACACATGGCACTAAAAACATCAATAGAAGTTCTACTTCATATATTCTTAAGCTGTTCATTTTGAGAGAAAATGCCTCCTAGAAAACTTTTCCATTTTCCCCAGTTTTTCAACTTCTATAATATTAGGTTCTGTAAATTAGATTCAGTGTATTCTTAGACATTTCAGAGGAGGCTCTGGATGTTCTGAGCTTTAGTGAAACAAATGAGACAGCACTAGAGCAAATTATTCCCTTCGTTTATTATTTTGTTGCTATGGTTTCTAGCTGCCATGATATCTTTTCTCTGCCCTAAATGAGACATTGCCTTGTATTGTTTTCTGCATTGCATTTATCTTTGCATATAAAATGAATACAGCTGGACTTGTCTCCCCATCTATACCTGTTTGCATTTAGGTTTGCATGTAAGGTTATATTTGTTCTATGAATAGCTTCCCCACTATGCATAACAGTGCTGGAAAGACAAACAAAAGCATGTACTCAATAAAAGTCTAGGGAAAACTTTTTTTTTTTTTCTTTTTCCTAATGCAGTGGTTATAACGTGAAGACACAGAAGCCAGAAGGGAAAGAAAAAGCTTCTTATAATTACATTTCCTGAAGAATTTTGCATACATTATGTTGTTTTCTGAACATGTGCAAAAAGAGGGGAGGATGAGAAGAAATCATGAAATTCAAGACTGAGTATTTTTGAGGAAATACCTCTTATTTTTATCCATGTTGATAGCAACATTCCCCTGCCTGCACAGCCTCATGTAAAATGTGTTACCTTTTTCTCCTCCTGAAATACAGAAGAATTGTACTATGTTAACTACAGGCTACAGTCTCTAA